TGGAGAAGACACAAGACAGGGAATCAGGAGGTCTGGGGGATATTCTTGTCTTAGGTGACTCATATAACTTCATTATGTCTGACCGAATCTATTTCTGATATATATATATATATATATATATATATTTTTTTTTTACTGTTAGAGGTGTAGATTTCAACAGTATATAAGAGAGAACTAAACTGAAACCCAAACAAACTTAGAATACCTTTACAAGATCAGTTGACAACATTTTTTATATTTATGCCTTATTTATAGTGTTTATGTTGGTTCATGAGTGTTATTTAAATAAACTAAACCAAGCTCATGGAACTAATAAAGCAGGTTAAAACAATTAAAGTAAAAATTAATGAATTAGCATGAATTAACAGTTTTAAATATTTCACGTGTAATGTACTTCTCATCACAATTCCATGTCAATTGCAAAGGTTTTACTGAAATAAACATTTTTTGGATGGCAGCTGTTAGTGTGTTACCACACATTATGGACCCAAATCTGTGTCTTCCCCATATAATCTTATCTTTCAGTTCATCATTAAGAAAAATATCAGATTTATGAGTTAAGAGCTACAGTTAGGTTTCTATTTCATTTTGCCTGTAAGCATTGCTGTCCTGAGGATATTATAAGGAATGGTCAATGATTTTTGGTTTGTGGTCAAAGAAGCCACTGTCTTTCAAACAAAGCAGAAAAATAAATGGCTTGAAATGAAATAGTTTCAAAGGGTTTTTCTGGATTGCACATAGATATTACTATAGTCTATTATTGCACATGTAGACATGTAGAAATGTATTTTTATTACCTGAGCATTAAGTAGTTCCTCACACCTGTGTGAGTGTTTTTCAATTGCAGAGATATACTGTTTTTCAATGGCTGTTTCTTGCTGCTGAACTGCAGACTGCAGTAATGCCTGAAAACAAAATATAAAGCAAACCAGTTTCAACAGAGAAGGCATACTTAATTCTATAGCTGGAATAAGCATTTTCAGACACTGCAAGCTTATGTTTGTATATAATAGATATCTGATATTCAGCTACTAATTAATGTGCAACTATTGAAGCACTTTCCCCATATAACACTATTTTGCTTTTATATATTTATTTCCCTTTACCCTGGATCATATTTTTGGGCTCTCATATTTCCTACACACAACTTCTTTATAGAGGGCAACTCACAGAAGAAGATAAAGGGGGTGAGTAGTCCTGTTAAATATACTCAGTTTAGTGGGACCACACAAGATGAGAAGCATATGAAAGCTTCTGAAAAAAAAGCCAGACATATTTCACTGGCTGACAAAACTCCACATCCTCTCGGCACACTGTAAGATCCCATGGGCCAAGCATGATCTTCATGACCACAAGTCAAGTGAAAGCAGATGGAAACTCTGAGTAATTTAAAACATAAAAGAAATGCCTCCCGGGAAGTTCACACTCTAATGTGAAGAGGTGGAAGTCAAAGTGTGGAAAGTCAAAGTGAGAAGACAATATTCAAAAGATAATAAAATTAGGAACATGTATACATATGCTTGATTGAACTGTGCAAAGGTTAAAGTATCTGTGTGCACCCACCAAAAATAGATTATCAAAGAACCCAGATTACTTTTTGCATGAATTATGTCTACCCGCTTCCTTTGAGATGTTGGAATTTTTACCTTCACTTTACTCACTCCCCTGTTATCCATGTTGTTTCCAATATTATAAGCTATTTGTGTGTCACTCCTTTGCAAAATGTGTTCTTTGTACTATTTATATATACTATAGCAAATTCTAGTTTTATATTGTAATCAGAGTATTGAACTACTTGTAATTATAATGTAAGCTGAAACAGACATAAGTCTTATGGAAAACAGATCTTTGGCATACACAGTAAGCAAAAAAAGCCAAAGTCTTTTAAATAATCTTTGTGCAGAAGATAAATGTACTTGATAGGAAACAATACACACTAAATAAGATCCTGAATAAATATATAAAAGCCTTAGGAGAAAAAAAATAGTTGTATGGCTTTTGGACTACCCTCCTACATTTTCCAATAATTAGTGTTGTTTTGCAAACATTACTATTTTCCAGGATGATACCACTGTGTAATTCAGTAGCAGTTTCATTGTAGCTACTGAAATATATTTACTAGAAAATTAGCAAATGACAGATGGTGCTTCACATTAGATTTAATCAAAATGTGAGAATAAGTTTAGTGGTTTTCCCAGTAGTTGAATCTAGTAGTAAATTTAGAGGTCTTTTTTCTCTTTTTTTTCCTAATTTTTTTTGTTAATTGTGTTAGCTTATTATATTGCCAGAATTTGCTTTGGATACAAAAACTTAACTCTCAGAGGACTGCTGCCTCACAACTATATTTTGAAAGTAAATCCCTTAACGCATTTTCACTGCTGGAAGTCAATGAGAAACCTTAAGTCCTGTAGGACTTGCTACAACAGTTAAAGGGGCCCTCACTGCAAAAACATTGCCCACCCCTAAGCTATAAGATTCTGTTTTGCCATGCAGCTGTCTGGCCACAGCTCAGGGGTCCTGAGCATGCTGCCAACACAAGAGTTGCAACCTCAGATAATAACTCGCTGCCCAATAGTAATAAAATTCTAAACAACAACTACTATTACAACAACAGTAACAATAACACCACCAACCACCACCATTTGGGATAACTAGCTGACATGAACTGCTGTCATGAACTTAACATAATATTGGCAATCAGCTAGAAATATTCTTCTTTCTATTGTTCATGGAACAGTTAAATTAAACCTGGAGTAGGGGAGAATGGAGTCTCTCAACTGCAGCATGTATGCAATGCTGGTTTTAGTTTCTGACTCTCTATATGTATTACGAGAATGCCTTCTGCTGTCTCTCCTGCGCTATGCGACGCACATGAATATTAATTTTCAAAGCCTCCGGCACAGAGAGAAAAAAAGTCTTTTTTTTTAAACCAAAAGTTAGCTCTGGCCATTGTGTGTTCTTCATTAAAGACCACAGAAATTGCTGTTGCTTCCAAGAACTTATGGGAGCTGCTCCTTTTCTCTCATAATTTGCATGGGCTCTCAAAAGTCCTTTCCAACTCTTTTATCAGTCACTGTTTCAAGGAACTGTATGCAGAACTGTGAGTTAAGAAACAAAAGCAACTTACCTTCAGCTCAAATAAAAAGCCCAGCATGGTCAAGAGAATGAACTGTGCCAAGAACAGAATGATCACTAGGAACATTACACTGTTGCTATTTGCTCTGTTGCATTCCTGCCAGTTAAACAAGCAACTTTACAATGTCTTTACAGTAGGGAATCATAACATACCTAAGCTGCCTAGCATTAAAACACTCTCTGTTCACATCTCCCCATATTGCTGAAAACAAAAAAATATTATATTACAATTCTGAACAATCAAAAGTCAGCTTCACTTATTTCAATGCTGTCCAGTCCACTTGACCTTTTAACATTTAGTCTTAAGACTGTACTCACTCTCTATTTTATCGTGATTAGATTGAGCAAAACAAAATGACTAAGAAAAACAAGAATTAATGTCCAAAGTGATGGTAGCTGACTAGATTTGGCAGGGGAGGTAGCTGTTAGTTTCCAACTTGGCATACTCTTTAATAACTTTGTTGGCTAATCAAAGATTCAATTTTGCCAAGTCTCAGACTTCAGACTATATCTGTGTTGGCTTATAGATCAGAAAAGGAAACTGATAGTTTGATTTGCTGTCGGATTTGAAAGAAAAGAAAAGAAAAGAAAAACCTCTCATCAATGTGCAAGTAGTATGAATAAGGTAAGAAAATATATTTAAGTAGGTCCTTCTAGGAAAAGACACATACTAAGACCAGCTATTTATGATGTCCTTCACTGAACTATCTTAGAAAAAAAAAATAGAAAGATTGTTATCTAGAGTTACAAACAGAACTCAGTGTTGTAATTTTAAAGTCAACCATGGGAAAAAAAGTGAATCAAGATAAATGTTGCATGGCACATCAAAGCTGTTCCATGTTAAGAGAATTTTAAACAGCTCTAGTAAATTAGATTAAAATGGCTTCTTGACAATCAAAATTTCACACAGAATTACATTAATTTCTTCTATGGGCCTCCTCCCTTCTCCTTTACTCTCCCCCCCTTTTTTTTTTAATCCCCACACTTTGGCAGTGGAAAAACTTAAAGGGAGAAAAGAAGGCACAAAGATTAAAATACACAAAAGTCAACATCATTTTTCAATTTATTTTGAATACTTCATTTTTTTTCCATGTCAGCAGTAGGAATAATTCCCTTTAACATTAAGGCTAGCAACAGACATTACACATATACCGGTTTAAGTGATCAGAAACTGATTTAAACCTGGAACAGAACAGATGTTCAGTGCACATAAACAAGTTTGAAAATGGCTGAAACCGGTTTGAGATAAACCTGGTTCAATGTAGTATCAGACTTAATTGATTTGGGTCAAACCAGTTTATGCAATGTCTGTCTCAGACCCCTTGCTGGTTTAAGATAAACCAGAGTCCCCCAGTATGCTCTCTGGGTGGGGTGGGACTCTGCTCCACAGCAAGGCTGCCCCCATCCTGTTCCCTGGCTGCAGCTGCAGCAGACTTGCACATACAGCAGCGTCTGCCAGGATTCCTCCTGCCTTCCCCCTCCCCTCCCCACTCCCTGCTAAGCAGGGCTTACCCGTCCCCTCCATTTTACACAGTCACCTCAGCATTAGCTAGCAGACCACATCCTGGCTACAGTCTGTGCTGTGGCAGACAGTAGTGTCAGTTTAGGGCTTTTGGAACTAATCAACAGTTCAATTGGTAATGTCCTTCCATTCCTTCTTTGTTTAAGAAGAGTTTGAACTAATGAGGGAGGCTGGTTGTTTTCTGATGAGGTAATAAATGCTGATAACAAAGCTGATAAATGCTCTGCTATCAAGGTGGGGGGACCCTCTGTAATTCGGCACTGCCTGGACATGCCCCCTTCTCCCCCCCAGCTCAGCCTCTGCAAGGGAAAGGAGAGCTGCTCTAGTGCCCCCTGGCTTCTGGCCTGAGCCACTGCAGGCATGTGTCTGCATTTTTGGAATGTCTGACCAATTAAGAAATGATTCAGCCTAGCCAGGTTAGACTAACCCACAAAGATTGAATCAATTCAGGCTCTGGCTTTCTGAATGTCTGTACTTAGCCTAAGAGTTTGGCCTGGCTTATTGGTAATGGCTAACATTGTATCTCCTGTAACCTAGCTGCGTTCCCCTCCCCACCCGCATCCCTCTGTTGTTAGTCCCTCGCTTGGGCGATCTGTATTTCCCTACCGGCTTTGTCATCTTTTTTTGGATTCCCAATCCTAAACATTTACTAATAAAAGTCAATCCTTTCCTACTTGCTCACCTGCCACACTCTATCATGATATAGCATAGTTGTGAAACTATAGCTCGAAAACGATAATGACCCCTGTTTCTCAATAGGCAGCTTTCTCCAGGAATACCACTTGATAGAGCCTTTGTCTAATCTTCCTCAGTAGTTTTAAGATTGATGGCCAAACAGTGGGATTTTTTTTTTAAATTTAAATGAGAGGTCACTGAAGATTTTCCTCATTATATCTCTCCTCATTTTAGGCTATGCTGTTCCTCTGCCTTTCCATATAGATGAATTACAGGCCAGAAATGAAATTCAAAGGAAAATATAGTGAGCTATGGTTGAATATCCAAAGTGGAAATTAAATAAATATAGTCTACAGTAACTATGCTGTTAAGTGAGGATGTAGGAGCCAAAGAAAATATGTTGGAGTGTGATAAGAGTCACTGTTGGCCTTCTTGTCAAAAGGATCCTAGTAATATGAGTTGTTTCCTCTAACTGAAAAATCTTCTCACAATGAAACTATATGTTGCAATATATGCATTTACAAATTAAGATAATCCAATATACAAGCATATAAACATACACAATCATATCAG